TGTACAGCAGGACGGCAGCCCCGACATTAAGAAAGACCTCCGACGAGGACAATCTGAGTCATGGGGAGGTCAGTTTGAGGAACAGTCAGATGAGGAACCAGGAATGGACAGCTTGGAGAAAAACAGGAGTCAGGATGATGCTCAAAGGAAAGCGATCACCTTTGGTTGGTTGTAGCAAAGAGACCATCCAATATGGAGACTATGTATATATACATTTGTAAAATGAACAGACTCCAATATAACACAAGACAGTCCAATACACACATGATTAGTCAAAAAAGGAAAGGGGAGAAATGATGGGGCAGAAAACATGTTTGCAAAATAAAGGCCAAAATTTCCCCAAATTTGATGAAAGAGATATACTTAGAGACTTTAGATGTGCGACAACCCCCAAGCAGGACATGCAGGACAGCATAGTTACAAAGCTGAGAGATAAATTCAGGCAATTTTTAATACAACAAAAGAAAAACAACTCATTGAATGTAGGAAGATACTTTAACTAATGACTTCTCACCCAAAACAATGGAAGTCGAAAGATGTGGAATAACACCACGAAGTGCCAAAAGCATGAAAAAAGTTATTCAAGAATTTTCCATCTGAGAATATCAGTCAGAAATGCAGGCGGTGTAAGGACACGCTTAGATAGAAGACGGCTGTTGGGGAGCGGGGCTAGCCCGCTGCGCCTCAGTGAGGGGGCTCTGCAAGCAGCAAAGCAAAGGCGGCAGGCCGGACACTGGCTCTTCACAAAGGAACGAATGAAGTGCCCGGCACGTCTGAAAAGATATAAACAAACTTTTCCGTGTTTATTTTTAAATACTTTTATGGCTACTGAAGCAAAATCGAGCATGGCCTTGGGGGTTTCTAACAGGTAGACAGGATACACACACCAGCTGGAGGATACAGGACGTGGGTAGGACACAGGCCTAAGCGCTTGCACAGGTAATGAAGGGTTACGATTTTACTGGATGCAGACTGGGAACAGTTATGTGAAATGAAAGGCTGGCCTAACGTTTGAAAATCTATTGGCAGGGCCAGCCCGTGACATGGTGGCTAAGATGGGTAGGTCCCACATGGCCGACCTATGGTTAGAGTCCTAAACCTGGTGGCTTAAGAAACACACCAGGTACATGTGAGTGCATCCCCAAAAATCCCAAAAGGAGGCAGAAATGGAAGAAAAGAGATTGTAGCATGACCATTCCCCGTGGTGATGGGGGGGGGTGCTTTCTCTCTTTCTCTCTCTCTCTCTCTCTCTCTCTCTCTCTCTCTCTCTCTCTCTCTCTCTCTCTCTCTCTCTACCTCCAGCAAGTACATGAACCCTCTGGCAAAAAATTTTTGAAAAGAAAACCAATGTAATTCACCACATTAATAGACTAATAAAGAAAAACTACATAATCATCAAAATAGACACAGAAGCATTTGACGAAATTTGATATCCATGCCACACTTAAGCACACAAAGAATAGAAGGTAAACAAATAAATCCCATGGCTCACATCACACTTAATAGCTAATACAGAACGCATTCTGCCTAAGACCAGGAACAAGCAGG